AAGAACGTTAGGAAAAATCTAGGAAAATGGTTATTTTTATAAGTAAAATAAAGCTGGATATAACATTGGCTAATGAAGTATCCTCCACAACTCTGCATGTGTGTTGGTAGGATTAGACACTGCTGGGTATATATACTCAATAAATATTAATTGGATAAATAAATGAAAAAGACAGATAAAGGATAATTTCTAAAATATTTTTTCTACTCTTCGAATTTTTTCTATGGTAAGATGTTTTTATATTACAACAAAACTATAAAGATGCCATAGAGTATGTGCTTACTCATAAATGGTATATGCAAATTTCAACTCACTGTCCTGGAATGATCTATCATTCCTACTGATAGATGAGGAGTGGGGGCCCCCAAATTTATTCTCACCTGGAGTCCCATGTGTCAGAAATGTGCAATTTGGGTCTTTTGATCCCAGCTCGTATGACCTTACCTGACCTTGAACTGGGCTGCCATGTTCCACGTTCTGCATTAGGAGATAGGAAACTGAACTCTAGTCCCTGCCCTGTCTCTGGCTTGCTAGGTGATTTGGGATAACTCACTTCTCTCAGGGTCTCTCTTGGATTTTTACCCTGCTGATTATAAGATGGCTTTCTTTTCTGTTCTTTTTTTTTTTTAAGATTTTATTTATTTATTTGACAGACAGCAAGAGAGGGAACACAGCAGGGGGAGTGGGAGAGGGAGAAGCAGGCCTCCCGTGGAGCAGGGAGCCCAATGCGGGGCTCGATCCCAGGACCCTGGGATCAGGACCTGAGCCAAAGGCAGACACTTAATGACTGAGCCACCCAGGCACCCCTGTTCTCTCTTTCAATGGAGAGAGAGCTGTATCAAAAAGGGTTGCTCATCCTGTCTAATATTGCTCCTTCTGGTCACTCTATCTTTTATCTCTGTGTTTTTTCTTCTGTTACTATTTTCATTATGTCATTTTGTTATGCTATTTTGTCATGTCGATCTTTCCACATTTTGCGATATGATTTTCAGAAATGACCTTGTTTATTTCTTTGCCTTTTTTTTTTTTTTTTTATATTTTCCCTATCTAGATGTAAGCTCTGTGAGATCTTAACCTAGCCTGTCCTGGCTGATATGGCAACAAAAACTAGCTCAAATGGAAAAGATAATTTGTCTTGTGTAGCTTGAAGGGATTGTAGTGGCTCATAGAATTTATAGAAGCAGCAACCAGGACTTTAGAAATGACAAAGGCCACACTGTGTGAACACATACATGTACTTATTTCTTCTGCCCTCCTCCCACCCCCCATCCCACCTCATCATTTCTCATTACCACTTATCTTTGCTTTCCTTCACTCTACACGTTGCATCCATCTAGAAGGGAAGAATTCTGCCAGAAGCCCTAAATTCACTTTGTTCCAATTTAACATTTCCAGCAGTTTCATTGCCCCCATGTCAGAGGGCAGCCATTGGAAAAGATTCTAATTGGTTTTGCTTGGGCTATGTATGCGTCTTTGAACCAGTCACACTAGGAGTAGAATTGTCAGCTGTGCTTGCTCACGTGTGTGCATGTGTTTTGTTTTGTTTTTTAATCGTTAACGTACATTCAATTTGGTATTTCTGTGCAAAAGCTTATTTAAATCATTGACCATTTTGTGGTGTTCAGTTGAGGTAAAACTGCATAATAATAACCTCTAGTCCACTTAACTTCCATATGTAAATATAGAGGTACTAATATTTTCTTCTTAGACTCCAGTGAATAGTCTTGCTCTCCTCCTGTGTGCCGTGTTGTTACATCCTTGAATGTGGGAACCATAACTCCCTTATTTTCTGTCCCTCCAATATTACCTAACAAAATGCTTTATAGTTAGTAGCTACCCTCTGAATTTCTGACATCAGATTAAATGAGCTACTTAAGTAGCTGAATTTGTGGACTTCTTCATTCATTCCATGTGCTTTATTTGGTGAGGATATGATTAGTTTTCACTACTGGGAAAGCAGGAAAGACTATAACTCTCTTTATTTTTAGTTTAAGGAATGCTATTCAGCAGTGCTAGGGAAGAAAAAGAAATCATTGATCATTGCAATAAGTCCTCCTTCACATCATGAATTTGAGCCTCTCTTATTGGTATTTCCTTTAACTAATTGACTTTTTACCTTGTACCTCATTTAATGATATGGATAGAGGCATCTGTGGTAGGTAGAAAAATTGCTCAGTATTGTTCTTCACTCAGATGAACTGCAGATGTTACCCTTGACATTTGAGTTAAAGAAAACCAAACTTGCAGGAATCCATCAGAGACTGTCTCTAGGCAAGTAACTAAAGCTTTAGGCCCTTGCCATCAGACCGGGGTGTGTGATCTAGTATTCTTGGTTTCAGCTGTAAACTTTTAGAAATGCAGAATCTAGGGCCTCAGCCCAGACCCTCAGGATCTGTAACTTAACAACTTTCTCAGGTGATTTGTAAGCAAAAGAAAGTTTGAGAAGCACTGCTCTGGAGATTAGAATCAGATTCCTGGAAGGCTTGTAGGGCCATGAAGGTTGGACTTTTTGAATATAATTGATATTTTCAGGAAGCCAAGTGTTTACCCTAGGGACGACAATGGTGGCAAATGTTGATGTCCTCCTACCATGAGGTTGTGAGAGACATTACTAATTGCTCAGGGCACTCTTACCACCAGACTTCAGGATGCTTGTCCAAATTCTCTACCTAGTCTGGTAACTTTCATGGAGACAGAAAAGTTGGCCTAAGAGTTAAGGTCTATTTATTAATCTTGCCTGAAGACCAATTGTTGTTTGCTAAGTAGTGTCCAACAAGCAAAATAGACCAAAGGGAAATCTAGGTTATTGAATCTTGTGGGTATGGCTTTTGGATAATTTGTTGACCAAATAATAAAGTCAAGGTCATGAGTTTTGCCCTCAGCAAACCGGATAATCTCTTAATCCACTTCTTCCGGTCTTGCTCTGTCTCCCATTCATTTGCTCTTCCTCATGCTAAACTTGTTTGAATTCCCTTCACTAACCTTCATCTTTTGAATTAAGCTTCTTCTCTTGATCTTTCTGGTTGGGGTACTTGGGAGAAGGATCATTGTAGCTATAAGCCCCATCTCCTGAAGACCCAAACTCTGACACTGACTTGTATGAACCCTGGTTATCTTTATTCACCCTTTTCAAACAAACTCAGACTGAATGCCTCGTCAGGGTCATCTGTTGCCTAAAATATTACCCCAAATGATAGAAACTGGGAGAATGGATTAGAATCCACTTAAATTGCCTACTTGAACTGTTTGATGTTGTCACAGTTCCCCCATAGTTGCCAAAGATGTAGGATCTGAGTCAACTTTTTAAGTTCTGGTCACAATTCCACTACTTCCTGGAGTGTGATGTGGGGCAAGTTAGCACGTATCTCTTTTCTTCGGTTTGTTCTTTCGGTGAAGTGGAATAATTCTAGAGCCTAATTCCTAGGGTTGTTCCGGAGATTAATGAGAATTATGTAAAATTTGGCACTGTACCTGGAGTATGATAAGATTTTACTACCATTAATGTCTACTAATTTCATTATTGTCATAATCTTTGAGGGGATTTTGGCTTTGTTGGAATAGAGGATTGGGCAGGGTCAACCAAAAACAATTGGAGGTACAACTTTCTTTTTAATATTCTCCTCTTCCCTCCAGACTTAAATCTTTATTGTCATGTAAAATCATTCTCCTAAGACATCTAAATCACCAGTTCGGTCAGATCCAGGGTATTTCCTCCCCCAAATTGTGCCACGTTTGGTATAAACCAATGTAGTTTGAATAATTAATCAACATCCAAATATATCCGCATCAACCAGAACTCAGGCTTTATTGTGCAGTGAAAAAAACTAAAACTTAATTCCAAGCACACGTAATTAAAGTTTGCAGAGAAAGATATTGTTCATAAAACATATTCGATATTTAAAGAAAAAAATAACAATTGAAAAACAGAATATACTTAGAATTGTTGGCTTCTAAAAAGCCCATTTCCCTCAATCCTAAACTTTGTAATTTCATATTAGGCGATGATGTTATTTTGTACAATCTAGTTAAACTATTTAATGGAAATAGCATTTGACAGAATAAAATATTACATAGATGTATGACTACAAAATAGTATTATTTAAATCCAATGTTCAACTTCAAAAGATAGATTGCCCCTAATAGACTTCAGTATATGCTCGTTTAAATATATATATATAAGTACATAAAGTATATAAAAAAGGAAATGACATATATAATATCAACCCTCGATTTCATCTGAGTGGATAAGGATACTAAAGCCAGGGAAATGTAGACATATTTTTTTCTTACATATTTTCCCATACCCTCTGCCTTAGGGTTACCCGTTTGAGTCAGAAATTGTAATGTAATTCTGGGACTAAACATTGACCAAATATGCTACTTTATCATTTCCTTGCAGAACTTGACTAGGACATTTTCAAAATCAGTGTGTGTATATGGTGGGGGGAAAGGGTCATGAAGAAAACAAAGTTAAATCAGAACATTTCTGAGACATCCATGTTCAGATGTGGCAGACAAGATGCAGGTCCCACCAGGGGATGCAGCAACTCAGAAAAGTTTATGGGCTAGCAAGGTGCTATGACTGGGATGGAACAGACTTGGCATCAGACTGAGGTTTCTGGATTATATCACACCCAGACTCTCTGATTGAGAGAATTCTCATCAATCAAATACATACTAAACTTTAAAGGGAAAATCTTCCAGGTAGCTGTTGTGTTTTTAACACAGACCTGGTTTCTGTACAAGGGAAAAGGCCTAGGAAAGTGGGAAGGATTTGATAGCCCATTTTGCAGAAGCCGCATTAACAGTGTTCACATAGCTGGGTCATTATTTTCTGATCTCCTATACTCCATGGAGGGCAAAATCACAATGAAATGTGGTAGCAAAATTGGCTGACTCCTGTATTCCTATGGACACAGATGCCTGTGTGACAATTCTGACTGACTTTTGTGAACCATCAGCCTATAAATCGTGACCCATCTTGCATTTTTGAGAAGAGTCTATGAAGGGATGATAAATTCGCAGATGTACCTCTTGCTGCTACGACAGACCTCGTCACTCCATTTGCCCTGAGCTGACTGGGAGAACAGGGCACAGTTTTCTCGCTTACCGCCATTAGGCTGTGCACGGTCCCAGTTGAGGAAGGAGAGGGTGACTCCATGGACATCAACAAACTTGCCCTCTGTGATCATGTCATTGATGCCCAGCCAAAAGTCATTGACACCTGGAAGGCTTCTTTTACCATAGTCTCGGAGGGCATTGATTTCATCAGAGTTTCTGGGGATAACCAAGGTTCCTCCCTTGGAGATGCAGTCTTCGTTGGCTTCATGGAAGTGCTTCATGCCTTCCGAAGCAAGGTAGCATTTCTTGTGAACTTTTGTGCCTCGGAGACAGACTGTAAAGATGTGAAATTTGACATATTAAGATGCTTTTTGAGTGTTTTGCATCCAGGCCTGGACTTGGAAAATAGCAATTAATATTTGTGGATTGAATGATGTGTCATCATAATGATGAATTAATATTTATTGGAGATTTTGTATGTGTCAGACCCTGTGCCAAGCACTTTATAATAATGAACTCATGTAATAATCACAGCAGTCCCAGAAAGTGAGATTTTATTACTCCCACTTTTAGATATCAGGATATTGAGGCTTACAGAAGTTGTTACTTGTAATGACTTAGTGTGTAAAAACATAAGTTACATAGCAGATAAGACCATTAACTACATAAATCCAGGTCTGTCCCACCCTCAAAACATTTTTAGCGTCATGCTGCTTTGATACACACATGCTTGGTAGTTTGTATAGCTCTACTGTGTGCTGATTTCCTTGGAACTTTTGGAACTGGGTGGTATTTCATAATTATTTAAAAAACAAACAAAAACAGAAGTGTGAGTTGACATATGGAGTGACAATGGTTTTGTTATGCAGATAACTCAGCCCTGGTAATATTGTTTGGATTATCAAGGATAAACCAAACATAAAGATAGTTTTAGGGCAAAGCATTGGAGAACCAGGCTCTGACATTTATTAGGTGTGTAATTGTTGGAGAAAACACTTAATGTCTCTGTGTCTCAGTTTCCTCATCTGTAAAATGAGGATAATCATAGTGGCACCTATCTCGTAAATTGTTGGAGGACTAATGTGTTAATGTCTGTAAAGCATTTATAGTGCCCAGCTGTGGGGAAAGCGTTAATAAAACTCTTTTGCCTTCTGTCTGGTCATTTGATCTTCCTTTAGCTTCTGAATTCTGATCCTAGAAACCTGATAAAGGGAATATGTCAACAGTATTACTAGGCAAAATTGCTTATGGTAAAAATGACCTTGAACTGGTCACATATAGCTAGCCTGGGAGTTATAAATCCTTGATGGAAGGCCATAACTTTAGTCTTCCCTGAAAGTGGTAACTCTTATAATTGGACAGGTCTCTTGAAGGACCCTTGAAGTTCTGCTTTTGGAGTTGCTGTGTAAGGTATTGGATCCTGGGGGTATAAGCCTTGTGGGCAAGGGCTGTTCTTGAACCCATCCAGTGTTGCTCTCTTTTCCTTACCCTGGGAGCCAGGGAGGGTAGCTTTGTAGGTTGCTGGGAGTTCTACCTCCATGTAAAGAGGAATGCCAAGCTGTGGTTCTAACCAATGGCCTTCCATTTGCATCTGGTGCTCCATGTGGCCAGAGTGAGTCCTGTGATCCTATATTTAGTTGAACCCCAGCAGATCTCCCAATGGGCACTTAGTAAACATCTAATGAATGCTAATTACTTTCACCAATTAATATTCACTTCAATTCTGTTTCATTTCCTATTAGAGAAGAATTATGAGCAAACTTTTAAAATGCATTATTGAAATGCTTATTTTTATTTCTCTACCACCGATATATAGGAGAAGGGAGTAGAAAATCAAGCTGATTTCCCCAAACAGTTGTCTGTCCAGCTTTTGAATCCTTTCTCCTGGACGCCTCTCTGGGTTGTCAATGTGTCTTTTAGAAAGTGTCAGCTAGGGGCGCCTGGGTGGCTCAGTGGGTTAACCATCTGTCTTCAGCTCAGGTCATGATCCCAGAGTCCTGGGGTCAAGCCCCATGTCAGGCTCCCTGCTCAGTGGCGAGTCTGCTTCTCCTTATTCCTCTGTCCCTCCCCCTGCTCCTTGTCTCTCTCAAATAAATAAAATCTTTAAAAAATAGAATAATAAAAAGTGTCACCTAGAACTTGACATGTACTCTAGATATGGTTTGAATTACTGGCAAATCACGATTTCTTTTCCTGTCTCTTTTGAGACAAGGCATTGATGAGTCGGGTCTTACCTGTCTGTAGGGCTTGCATTTCCTTCAAGGCATTGACTTCTCTCCAGAGCTTTTCAATCTGAGTCTTCAGGTCTCCATTCTTTTCTGGGGACATTTTAGGGTAGGAGGAATGAAAAGCGTATGATTAAAATAAGATAAAAATAAAATAAAACTTTGGAACCCAGAATCTAAGGTGAGGGTGGTTTTGATGAAACTGAGCCGAGTGTACATGAAAATTAATGGATGAAAATAAGTTGGCCAGGAAGATTCATAAGAGCTTGGTTGTGATAATAATACTAGATGGTCCTTCTTTGAGACAGGGCTGCTGTGCCTCTCCAGTCCCATCCTGTGGGACTGTCCCTCCATCAGGCATCAGACTTGTTCACTTTCAGAGTGAGGTGTGTCATCTCAGGATCCATTCCTTTGGGTTCCTCCTGCCTGGAACACTCCTGCTCCAGCTCTTGTCCATCTCTCGTTGAGCTGAAATATCTTTTCTAGAAGGCTGTTCTGGTTATCGTCTCTATATTAACATCTGTCTGACTAATCTGTTTCTTTGAACCTTTACTTTTCTTCTGAGCACTTTTCTCTAATCTATATTTTTACTTACTTAATTTCATGTGTCTTATTGTCCATTGGTGCGCTTGGTGCTTAACACAATGCTTGGCACATAATAGCTGCGCATAATGTTTGTTGAATGAATAGACAAGATTCTAGGACTGATGGGGTCTGTCTTAGAAATTGACAGTTTGAACTCTTCAAAGGCAAGAATTATAATAAATTGTAATAAATAACAAAAAGGAAAAATATTAAGAGCCACCATACACTGGACACCAGGAGCTTAATTCTTTCAGTATTCCTGTGAGATAGATACCATCACTATCCTCAGTTCACAGAAGAAATAGAGGCACAGGAGGTCAAATTAACCTGCCATAGGCTAGCCAGCTAGTAAGGTGCAGTCAGGATTTGGATCTGTCTTACTCCAAGTCTGTGCTCGTCACATCCTTCTGATCTGCTCCTGCACAGTAATTGCCTGATCCCTAGCACATGGCCTTGAACAGAGAAGATGCTTAAAGCTTGGTATGAGCTGTCCCCACCTGCCTCCTTATATAGATACCGTATGGGGAATCTGTGTTCTATCCTGGGTTTTTCAGGACCGTCCCCAAATCCACACATGCTGATTCATCATCCTCTTTAACATGCGCTTTGCAAGTCAGGTGTTTCCACGCTGGGTTAGGAAAGCCTTCTGGGATACCCAGGGATGGACCCCACCTCTGTTTCACTTGATGTTGCACATCAATTCTGAAAGCATCCAAGTAGCTCAGCTCGGAAATACAGTAACCCAAGAATTTCCTCAGAGACCATTCGATCCAGAATAAATATAAGGGTACATTCAGAATGCAAAACCATCAACTGTTTGGAGGCCAGGCTCACAAAGACCGCTGAAGACTTGCTTCCAAGTTTCAAGTTGTCAACCATACAAATGTCATCCGCCTTCCCTCTCAGCTTCCTGCTTCATTCTATATAAATATGTGGCCTCCATAGGAAAGCTGTAAACGTTGTAATTAACATGAAGACATGAATAACATAGGCTCCTGGGAAATCATTATGGAAATCATTGTCCAGGTGACTTGGCTTCTGCTTCTAACCTTTGTGACAAATGTGGATGTGTTTTGTCTACAATGAATACAGGGAATATTTCAATTTAAAAATTAAATTTTAGGGGCACCTGGGTGGCTCATTCGTTAAGCTTCTGCCTTTGGCTCGAGTTGTGATCCCAGGGTTCTGGGATCGAGCCCCACATCGGGCTCCCTACTCCGTGGGAAGCCTGCTTCTCCCTCTCCCACTCCCCCTGCTTGCGTTCCCTCTCTCGCTATGTCTCTCTCTGTCAAACAAATAAATAAAATCTTTTAAAAAAATTAAATTTTATTCATTTCTGCAACATATAATTTATTGAAACCTATGAGTTAAATTACCAGGGAAATTTTGTTTTTGAGTTAAGTCCCTCGATTGCCATTTTGAGTAAAACAACAATAACAACAACAAAAACTCCCTCTTATTTTATTACTGTTTTTCTCCAGAAGTAGTTTCAGTATAGAAATGCAGAAATAATTCCTGGAAAATGACTTGTAAACCTATGAAATCTACCTCATCCTCATTAACAACCAAAGAAGTGTCAACCTTTTTAACAACCAAAGAAATGCAAATTAAAAGCGAGATATTTTGTTTTTTGGTTAGATTGACAGAGCTTAAGCTGATGATATGATGTTACGTTGTCAAGGTGTGTGGGAATGGTCACTCTCATATGCTGAAGATGGGAGCAATGTGGGTTGATGCTATTATTTTGGGAGACAGTTGGAAAGTGTGATGAACCTGCAGTTTTCTAGAGGTATATCATAGCATCCTACCTAGCATGGGTTCAATATATGTGTACAAAGCAGTTCACTGAGGCAGTGGATCAAAAACAATAGAATGGAAGCCACATAAAAGTTCACCAAGAGATAACAGATGACATGAATTGTGACCCATCTGTGCAATGGAATATTATGCAGCCACTTTAAGGACTGATGTATCCCTTATGTTGATAGTTATCCAAGATTCGGTGGATGAAATAAATTAATAGCCAATTCTTATTTGGTTAAAAATAGCAGGTTTTAATTGTGCATTAGAAGAACTCTGGGAATATTATTTCCCAACACGTAATAGTGGGTAATTTTGTGAAGAGGGTTGGGAGAGAAAAAATGGCTTTCACTTTTGATTTCATAAGGTTTGGTATAATTCCCAGATACTTAAAATGTTTTAAAATTGTGTTAGTGGAGAGAGAAGTGTTTGGTAAGTTTAGGCTTATTGCATCACTTACTGCTGTAGAATCTACTTTTTTGGACTTAAGAGTGAAAACTCACAAAAACTCCTTCAGGAGGATGATGCTGAAGAGGTGTGCGCAGTCAGTTAAAAGGCAAATGGGGAAGAAGAGCATGTGGGTATACATGCGTGTGGCTGGGGGACTTCAGAAACATCCCCATAGCACACACACACACCCACATGTTCACACCCATCTCCACGTCCTCCTCGCGGTGAAGAGATGCTGGGAGGAAAAATACGCCACGTGGTCACACAGTATCTTCTCCCTCCCTCCTCCCCCTGCCCTCATCTTCACCAGTATACTTTACCACGGATGAGAAGTACTTTAACCTTCCATTTAAAAGAGGTAACAGGAAAGTTTAATATTGTATAAGGAAAAAGAGTCCACTGAAGAAATCTTGCATCAGACCTAAATCATAGAAATAAATGCCCCCTCTTCAGGGCACTTTATAATATGCAAAACACACACCAAGACAAGCCTCCTTTTTAACCCACCAGCCATCCATGTTGTGTCGAGTCTGCCTTGCACTTTGTTGGTATGTTTCGTATGTTTTGTTACTAATGAAGTGAAATTGATAAGGAAATAGTGTCATAATATTGACCTTGAAATACGCTGATATGAGAAAGAAAATGACTCAGAGAAAGAGATAAAACATCACTCTTTGTCTCCCTTGTTACTTTTTTCCTCTTGCTATGCTTTCAGCATATTGCAAATAAATTGCTGTCATCTTTGTTTTTTGCAAGATTTGTTTTTTCTTTTTTAAAGATTTAGTTATTTGAGAGAGAAAGAGAGTGAGCAGGGGGAGGGTCAGAGGGAGAGAGAGAATGTCAAGCAGACTCCCACTGAATGCAGAGCCCAACGCAGGGCTTGATCTCACGACCCTGAGATCATAACCTGAGCTGAAAGCAAGAATTGGTCACTTAACTGACTGAGCCACCCAGGAACCCCTTTTTTTTCTTTTTTGCCTCTTAACCCAGTTCAAGGCATCCAGATTTGGGGATTGCTTGGAGATTCAGTTTTGCATTAAAATGTTTTCAAACGTAGGGATGCCTGGGTGGCTCAGTCAGTTAAGCGTCTGCCTTGAGCTCAGGTCATGATCCCAGCGTCCTGGGATCAAGTCCCACATCGGGCTCCCTGCTCAGCGGGGAGCCTGCTTCTCCCTCTGCCTACCACTCCCCCTGCTTGTGCTTTCTCTCTCTGTGCCTAATAAATAAATAAAATCTTTAAAAAAATGTTTTCAAACACTACATGACTTTGCATGTTGAAATATTTTTAAGTTTAAAAAGAGGTTCAATTTCTCTCTTCCATGAAAAAACTTAAATGTGTAGTATAGTCTGTCTTTATATTGTCAGAGGTATGAAAATATACCTATGTGATAACCAGTGACAAAATGGTCTAACCTTGACTATACATTTAATAAGATTATAGTTATCTTACAAATATATTTGAACAGTTATATAATATCTAGGAATGAAACAGTATACTCTAATTATTAATCAGTCTATTCTATTTGACCCCTTGTTCATAATAACCAGATATCCACGTATCCAGATTAACTCCCTCTGAAGAACATTCTTCGTGGCTAAGCTCACTTGACAAAGGATATACAACACAGAAACTCTTTCTATTAAAAAAAAAGGACCCCACTGCATGATTCCTTTAAATATCAAACTGTTCCAGAGAATTAAAAGGTCACTCAGTCCCTTGAAATGCCATATCCACATGATGGCATGGTACTTTCACCAGAGACGGTTCTCCTGGAAGAGTTCGGAAATGAATATTGCCCAGTCCCTCCCCACACTGAACAAGCCTAGAATTTTGCTGGCCTGAAAGCCCCGTTACCTTTCACTCGGCGTTTGCTGTGCTTCCTGGCTTTAAATTTGGATGAATGGCTGGTGGTCTGGTCCAGGAGTAAGGTGATAACCAGGATGTAAATTACAAGTCCATTCTTTGCCATGGCTTTTGGGCAAGTCTGAGGACCACTGCCAGCTCCTGTGAAGTAGCTAAGAGGCACGTAGACTGCGCAGCTACATCTTGCTCTGGAATGCCTGGGGCCAGCTTTATAAAAGTGCGAGTGAAGATTGGCTGGAATCCTGCTGACGAAATGTTTGAATTCCTCAGCTGGCCACAGCAGAAGGTGGTCCCTTGTTCTTGTGTCTCAGGTTAAACTTTTTTTGTTTTTAATGTTCCTGTTACATTTTCTACTTGACTTGCCTTTTCAGACTTAACTAAGGGATTAAGGGTTTTGCCTGCGTTCTTCTTCTTTCTTAAAGTCCAGGAGGTTTGGAGTCTCTGTGAAGACCTCAATATTTAAGCCCTTGATTTGGAGCTCTGAAGTTCACTTAATCATCTGGGAAATTCAGTCCCGTTTTCAGGGCAAATAAATAAATAAAGCACACCCAAAAAACTAGGAAAGCTCCTGCTGTGTATGACTGTGTGTGTGATGCTGGAGTCTACACACATTCATGTGTCTACTCAGCTCAGGTGAAACTTGGGAATGGTTTGCTCACAGAGCATAACAGGGCTGGCCAAAGTGGATGGTCCATGATGAAAAAGAAGGCTTTCTATTAGGGTTTTGTGAATTCATGAAGAATTTCATTTTGGGGAAACACCTTAGAATGAAAAGAAAATTAAGATGATGAATTATTTCTCTAAGAATTAATATATAATATCAACTATAGCTATTTTGCAAATCCCTGTCACCCAACACTTTCTGCCTTGAAATTACCCCAAACACTTAAAAAAATACTGTCAAAGAGAATACAGAAATAACAGAAGAATAGAATGAAAGACTCGGTATAATTATTCTTACCTTAACAATGGGCTTTTTAGGACAAATTCTAGGAACCAGATAAGCTTTTGTATCTAAAGCAAGGGACGTCCATTATCTTTCTTTTTCTTTTTGAGACAACATAGGAAGAATCAAGGGGTGATTCATTTCCTCTGGACCTTGGAAAACCACAGTCTAATCTATCTTCATTGCCTTCCTGTAAAAGTCTCTCAGTACCCTACCCATGTATTAACACCGAAGTAAGACCGCTGATAGAGAAAAGTCTGACATGGTTTAACAATGTAAATGTGAAATAAAGAATAAAGATTTTACTTATAATGCAGAATCCTTGTACTGATTTGGGCAATCTATGAGTAGGCACTTGACAGCATTGTGGAAACAAGCTGAGCTGGGTTCAAGTTTGTATTTCACCCATTTATCAGCTGTGTGCTCTTGGGCAAGTCACTGAACCTATCTGGGCCTATTCTCACACAGAGCTAGGAATGCCTACTTTATAGGGCTGTTGGAAAGATTAAATGAAATAATGGCTATAAGCACTTAGCACAATGCCCAGTGCTTAATGATAATAATAGTAATAATATCTGTAACATCTTTTTTTTTTAAAGATTTTATTTATTTATTGGACAGAGAGAGACAGTGAGAGCAAGAACACAAGCAGGGGGAGTGGGAGAGGGAGAAGCAGGCTTCCTGCTGAGCAGGGAGCCCGATGTGGGACTCGATCCCAGGACCCTGGGATCATGACCTGAGCCGAAGGCAGACGCTTAACGACTGAGCCACCCAGGCGCCCTATCTGTAACATCTTTACCATCAATTATAATAGTATGTACAATTCATTTCATGGAATACCAGATCTTTTTTTTCTTCACAGCAAGCCTATGGGATAAATATTCTCTCCAGTTACAGATGATTGAATCTGAGCCTCAGGAAAGTTAAGTGGACTTGTTCATCACTCAGATTCCAGTGGAATTGAGTAGAATTTAAAATCTAGTTTTGATTGACCCTGGAAGATCTCTCCTTTGACCTGGCCTGTGAAAAATATGCTTTGATCTGAGTAGGGAAATGGATCAATGCTTTACAACTGATCTTATGATTGATTGAAAATACTTTTTTCCAGCTTCTCAAATCCTTTCCTCTGAGAAGAGATTTTGAGTTACAGAATAGTCATGGAAAGCTAATGATTTCTCTTGGATCTTTGATCTGTGCTATGTTCAAACTAAATTTGTAAGAAAAGGCTGTCTTTTTTCTTCAAAATAAATCTATATTGTTTTAGGCTCTTTTTCCTTTCTAGGAAGGAAAAATTTGACAATTTTTGGATTTGTCTTCTTTTAGCCAGATTCTAAAGCCTATGCTCTCTCCCTTTTAAATTAAAAGACTTTATTTTTTAGAACAGTTTTAGATTTCTAGAAAAATTGAGCAGAAAGTATAGAGAGCCTGCCCTGCCCCCCTCCCCAGTTTCTCCTATACTTAGCATCCTGCAAAAAAACCAAAAACCAAAGAAAAATCTTGCATTTGTGTAGTGTATTTGTTATAATTGATGAATGAATATTAATGTATTACTATCAGTTAAAGCCTATAGTTTACATTAGGGTTCTCTCTTTGTGTCGTGCAGCTCCATGGTTCTTGGCAAATAAGTGTATAATGTCATGTATCCACCATTACGGTACATCCAGAAGAGTTTTGCTGAAACCCATGCTTTTTGTTCTAATTAAATATTTGAGGATTTGTTTCTTCCTCAGCTGTACTGCCTGGTGCCCCTCAGGACTCTCTCCTGACTACCCCTCCTGTTACTCTCTTTCTCCTTCTCATGGCTTCAGATTCTCTGTCTGGGACTCTCTCACATTTACCTCTCAGTTTGGATCTCCTCCTTCAGATTCACAGTTCCAGTTGCCCATGTGACCCTTCCAGGTGGATGTCTGAGACATTTCAAACTCTTGATGGTTAAAGCAAAATTCTGGATTCTTCCCCCATTAACATCCCATGAATTTAAAAAAGTCTATTCTTCCTGGCTCTTCTCCAGCACAGTTAATGTCCCCAACCCACTCAGGGGGCCATTTCTGAAAACTAGGAATAACCTTCCTGCTTTGCCACCCGCCTCCCCCAGACTTTGGCCCGCAGTGCCCTTCCTTGCAACCTTGTCAACAGCAATGCCGTGGTTTCTACCTCTACATGGATGCTTCCTCTTTCCTGCCATCATCCCATCTGAAGTCTCTAAGAGCTCTTGTCCTGGCCCAGCTCAGCCACTGTGCTCCTGCCCATCTCAAGTGAATGCTCCACACATCATTAATGGGAATCATCACTCTCTGACTTAAAACCCTCCAAATCTTTCCATTGTACTGAAGATGAAACCCGGACTTCTTACTTTGGTTTCTGAGGACCTCCTACCTAGTGGGTCCCACCTGGTTCTTCCTGGTGACTTTCTCCCTCCATGGAGACCTTTTGTCAACTCTGAGTCATATTTAGTTCTGTCTTTCCATCCCCACTGTGCTTTTCCACAGCCTTTTTCTCTGTCACTATACCATCACCCCTTCCCAAACTCGAACTCTTGGTGTGAGTCCAAATTAGTGCTACTTTGTGTATGACCCGACTCCTGCTTGTCTTCCAGATCTGAACTTGAAGATCACCTTCTCACACATCTTCTCTATCTGCATAATGTAGCAAGGTCGTACTCTCTTTTCTCCACGAAGGTCCCCTGCTTCCTTTATAGCCCTTCTCATAGTTTGGTACTCATTTTAAAAATATATTGACCTAATTGATTCACTGGTTGGATGTCAGTCTCACCGGCTAGGCTGAAAGCCCCCAGAGGGCAGGAGCTGTTTTGGGTTAGCTCAGCTATGCATGCAGTACCATACTTGGCACACAGTGTTTGCTCAATAACTGTTAACTTATGTGTGGCAGGACGGTTTGGCTTTTGCTTCCCTCCTCTCCCACCTCTGCTCTGAGACTCTAGCAACAAGGCACTTGATCAAGGAAACAGCTCAGCTCTTGGAAGAGTAAAGAGACAGACTCATTTGGCATAATAACACTTGGAGTCATGCTAGGAAACCATCCCACTCAGCACGAGCTCTGATTGGCTTGCAGGTGCTTGGCCCCAAGGCCAGACAAGGATGGGAGCTTTCCTTTAACTTGTCTTCCTCCTGCTGGGATTCTAAGTCCAGCTCATCCTCCTTCAGGGAAAAACCACTGGAAACTGAATGACTGCAGGATTGGCTGGAAGAAGATGAGAGTTGGATCTGAGAATATTCTTAAGGTAAGGATTTTTGTCCCTGTCCCAAATGCTGACTGACATCAGACATGGCCTCCACCCCCAAAATCTCAACAGGAATAGCAGGGGGGAAAAATGGCAATGATCTGGGGAAAAAAATCACATCAAGAACTACACACACATCGAAGGTAATGGATGCAGGGGGCCCTGAACCCACCTTGTCCTTGGGGAAGGCAGGCCTCGCTCAGTTTTCTTGGAGTCTGAACAATTCCCTTTTTATGGAGCAGGATGATATCACCAGCTTGTCTCCTGGGCTGGACTAGGGCTTCTGAAAGGGCTATTTAAGAAGAAGTATCCATTTATAGCCAGGGAATAGGAACCATAAAAATACTGCCTTCAGTTGGAAAGCCTTCCTGTGAGGATTTACAAACTGTCACCAGAGTTTAAATTTCCTTAATAAATTGCTGTTTACAACATGTCTCCTGACCACCCTGTGTAATTGACATGTTTATTCCACTGGTTGCTATTTTAAAGTTGCTCTAAGCTGCTGTTTTCCAAAGTGTCTAACAAACAAGTCCATCGTCCTCCTTGCTGTTTGTCTGTTAATACTCAAGGCTGAAATCTTTGAAGGCTGCCTTCAGAGGTTCAAGGGCAGCATTTAGGGGAAGTGATAAGGCTGAAGGTGGATATAGCAGAGATGAGGTTGAAATGCTTGAAGGAAAGATTGGTTATGGTGTCTGTGCAAGTTGTCTCATTTTTGCTTAGAGCTATTACTTGTAGCTGTGACTGGCAAAAGTGTCAGGGAATTTGAAGAAAAGGCTGAAGACAGGGTTTAGGAAGAGGGTTCAAAGCCCTGCTGAGATGGGTCAGCATTGAATGTACATAAAGAGCAAGGACTCCAGTAGTTTGGGGTTAAAATTTCAGATCTGTTATTTTTTAGTTGTGTGATGTGGTCAGACTTTGTTGTTTC